CCCCCAGCTCTGCCGGTGCCCCTCACTCCCGACCCGCAGCCCCTGCCAGCCCAGCCCTGGGCTTCCCCCCAGCTCTGCCGGTGCCCCTCACTCCCGACCCGCAGCCCCTGCCAGCCCAGCCCTGGGCTCCCCCCCAGCTCTGCCGGTGCCCCTCACTCCCGACCCGCAGCCCCCTGCTAGCCCAGTCCTCTGTCGGTGAGAGCAGAGGAACCAGGTGTTACCGGGGCTGCTGGGACAGGCGGGGCTGCAGAGCCTTGCCAGGGCGCTGGAGGAATTTAATTACGGCGCGTTATGCAGGTGCGAAGTGACAAGGTCTCCGGCGCTGGGTGTGAGCCAGGCGTTGGGATTAGCGGCAGGCGGGGGTGGCGGATTCCAGCTGAATAGAGGCAGGAGTGATGACTTAATTCGGCCTCACCGGGAACGGCTCTCGCTTTTCACCGAGCCAAATCCCCGGGGTAGGATTAGCGCTGGCAGGAAGGCGTCCCGTCCCCCGCAGCCCCCTCCTGGGACCCAGCCGGAGCCTTTCCTCCGGCAACAACCGCCCCCCCGGCAGGGGCCTGCTCCGGGCTACCCCAATACACCCAGTACACGTACAGCGCCCAGCGCCGCGGGGTTCTGGGACGTTCCTGGGACCGCTAGGCACATCCGTAATGGGCAGTGCTCAGCACAGTGGAGCCCCAGTTATGGGCCAGGACTCCATTGTGCTAGGCACTGTACATTTCTTAGGTGCATTATGGTAGCACGTAGAAGTCTGGAATGGACCAGTCCAGAACCCCATTGTTTTGGGTGCTGCACATCTATTAGGTGTATTATGGTAGTGCCTTAGGGTCCTGGCCCTAATGTAATGCTCCTAATAAATGTACAGGACCTCGCACAGTGGGAGCCTGGTCATAACTGGGGCTCCAGCTTGGAACTGCTCACTTATTAGGTGTATTATGGTAGTGCCTAGCAAAGCCAGGGCTGGGTCAGGACCCCAGGGTACTACCGTAATACAGCTAGTAAGTGGACAGTAGCTGGTGCCACTGGGGGCTGGTCTATGGTGCACCCCCAAGTGCTCCTGCAGCTGCCCTGGAGGGGGATCCGGACCCCAGGGAGGCCGGGGGTGGGTTACTTATGGGCAGGAGCTGGTGGGTTACGGGCTTGGTGGGCTCCACGTGGCCAGTGAAATGTTAGAGCCCTCGGGCCCCGTTCAGGGAGGGGGGTTGGCAGCCAGGACTCCGGCGAGGGGTGGGGTCTAGAGTTGGCGCAGGGAGGGACTGGGAGCCAGGACTCCTGGGTTCTGTTGTGCTCTGAGTGGCTGTGGAGTGTTTGAAGCCAGGCGTTACTAGGCTGTTCTCTTTAAAGGGGAATTGAATTGCTGTTGAAAACGCCTCCTGGGCCCCGTGGGGAAACTGAGGCACGGAGAGAGCAAGTGGCTTGCTCAGGGTGATGCAAGTTTGTGGCAGAGCTGGAGATAGAAGCGAGGAGTCCCAACTCCTAGCCCCCCCCCCGCTCTAACGACTAGACCCCCACTCCCCTCCCAGAGCCGGGGAGAGAACCCAGGAGTCCTGGCTCCCAGCCCCCTGCGACCCGCCCATCCTCCAGACGCCGCAGATCCAGGAGCGCTTTCCGGCTGAGGTGGGTTCTGCACGTGCTGAAATAGGGGCTCGCAGCTGTCTGAAGAAACGAGCGGTGGTTTCCCTCCATGTGGCGCCCAGCGGCCAAGAGCCGGGTCCCCGCTGCTGGGGCTGCTAGGGAGGACGGGCCGCGGCGCCCCTCCTAGTTAATTAGCCAGTGTTCGTTAACAAGGCCAATAGCCCACTTCACATCTGCGGAGGGCTTGGCAGGCGCCGGCTGTTTAACTCGCAGATGAAGAGCGCCGTGGAAAGACTGTTTCCCCCGTTCGGGGCTGGTGGTGGGTCCCCCTGCATCCTCCCCTCTCCCCCCGCCATCTCCAGCTGCTCTGATCTTCTTTAGGGGGACTGAACCCCGGGTACGCTCCAGCCCATCCCCCAGCCAGCGCAGATCTCGCCTATGTTTTTGGCTGATCTCGTGCTGAGCGTCCCCAGAGGAAGCGCCACCTGGCTGGGACGCTGGGTTCAGTCCCTGGCTCTGCCACTGGGACCTTCAGCAAGTCACTCAGTCTACTGTGCCTCGGTTTCCCACTTGTAAAAAGAGAATCGATCCTGCCTGTGTCTGTTTAAATTGAGCTCTTTGGGCAGAGACTCTCTCTCTGTGTGTCTGAGTGGCAACAGGACCCCCCAATCTCGGATGCTGCACTGCCCGCGACGGGGCCCTGATCCCTGATCTGGGTGGCGCCCGGCGCGACGGGGCCCCGATCTCGGTTGGGGTCTGGGTGGCGCCCGGCGCGACGGGGCCCCGATCTCAGCTGGGGTCTAGGCGGCGCCTGGCGCGATCT